TAGGGAAAAAGTTTCCATGGTTAAAATTTGAAGTTATGTAATCAAACAAAAAATTATTAAATGCCAATTTTTCTAGACAATGAATGCACTACTTGCCTGTTCAATTTCAGAAAACTTGGCAAACAAGTCATCTGGTATGGACCAATCAAAGACATCTAAGTTTCCCTTGATCCTTGCTTCGTTTGTGCTCTTTGGAAGCACGCTATGACCCATTTGCAAACCCCAGCGAAGTGCAACTTGGGCAGGAGTCTTGCCTAATTTCTCTGCAACTGTATTAAGAATTGGATTCTGAAGAACATCACCCTTGATCCATGTAGTACCAGGAGAACCCAATGGTGAATATCCCTGAAAGCAGCACACGAGTATTATAATTAAATTGCATATTAACTCCAAACACAAAGCATACTGTGATATTCCCAATTGCACAGGAGTGAAGTTTCTCATCACAATTGAATTAAAAACAAAGCAAGTAGAAATAAGAAACGGTGCAAGATCTGCATACTCACAGATAGGTGGACTCCCTTCGATTTACAAAATTCATGCAGCTTAGTCTGCTGCCATGAAGGATGACACTCAACCTGAGTGACAGCAGGAGGAACACGTGCAACCTCCAACAAATCGGCCAGTTTCTTTGTAGAGAAATTACTGACACCAATAGCTCGAGCCTTACCAGAATCATACAGTGCTTCCATTGCTCTCCAAGTGCTAGGTATATCTACAGGTAAAAGGTTTTCAGGGCTGAAACCAACTGAACCCTTCTTCTTCCTAACTGGCCAATGGATCTTCAAGAATGAACAGTCCCATTTAGTTGTGATTGAAAAGTGTCCTTGATTATACATCAGGATATTAAAAACCACCCAACCATAAATGTAAATTTTATATGATTTTAACATTTGATTCTCATGAGATCACCAGAAGCAATTAGATAATTATGCAGCAGTTACAGCTTTATAAATGACTAAATTTCATGGATTCTGCTAAGAACCAGCCCAACTGACAGAATACTAAATGCTAAAAAAGGACAGACAAAAGCGTTTTTGAAACCATAGTAAAAGTCACAGTACTGCAACCACTGAATTATGAAGGTTTCAATAAGTTTTAGGAGTATAAATGGAGAAGATCTGTGAAGAAAATACATACAAGATACAGATCAACATAATCAAGCTGCAAATCCTGCAAAGTTCTGTCTAATGCCACGGGCACATCTTCTGGTGCATGGTCAGTATTCCTGGGCATCACATCAGTTTTAGATGGTAATCATTGTAAGGGATTGTTGGGTTGAGGATAAGATCAAGGTTCCAAAAAAATACAATGGATATGCAGAAATTCTGACAAAGCGTTAAAATAGAAGTATACCAAAAATGTTAAAATTGAACAAAATAGAATAAAAACAAACCAGAGTTTGGAAGTAATGAATAACTCCTCACGCTTGACCACACCATCTTCAAATAGTTTCTTCAAAACCAAACCAATCTACAACAAATAAAGATCATAAGTTTACATACCATTTTTAGACGAAGAGAATGACAACAATCAAATGTCTTAAAGTGTAAAAATATTAATACAAAAATATTATTAGGGGGTTTAAGTCCCTGATATGCTTATTCACACTACTATAGAAGCAAAAAACAAAAGTTTCCATGACTTGTTTAAAGTCACAGTGCCATATAGAGAAAGCACAGTGGAGAAGATTTTTTTATTTCTACTTGCTAGGAACAAGAAATGACAGACTTAAAATTATCCCATTATCAGGGAAAACTCAGACAAGACAAAGCCATGGGGGTAGCTAACTAGCTACGTCTTTTGGTGGGTGATGCACTGATGCTTAAGCAATAACTGAATTATAGAAACAGATGGTTATTAAGAGAAGCCAAATGCCAGTAAGGGTATTCAAGATAAAAATGAACATTGTGTCTGGCTCAAAATCAGAACCATATCGAATGAGAATGTTACTCCCAAACAGTGGAACCGAACCTAACTGATCAATCTAAACTTTCTAACCAGTAAAATAGGTCTACTCATAACATAATTCTGCATGCACAATCTTGCAATTCTTGATTTTTAGTAAAATAGAGCAAGCTCTAGAACAATTGCAGCAGATAACTACTAAAACAGAAAGGACTAAAAATGTCAATTGCTTGGAATAAGATGCAAAGCCAAATGTTGCTAGATAAAAGGTATGGCAAATTCCAAGATACAGCAATACACATGAAAAAGAACAAGTTGCCGGACAAAAAAAGAAAAAAAGAATAAATTTAAAACACAAATGCCTTTTTTATAAAAAATTAAAAAAAAAGAGAAAAAAATCAAACCTTGTAAACTAAAGAAAATAAAGTAAATGTATAGTATTACAGGCACACACCTAATTTTCAACTTGCTACAGCAATTTACTAGTGACAATTAAGACTTTCAACAAGAGCAGGTCAACATCTTGTTAAATTAAAAAAAAAAAAAAGAAAGAAGGAACAAGCATTTTTTTTTATCTTGCATAATGGAAGTCAGCTATCTCCCATCCCTTATCCCATCTCACTCGCACATCATACCACTAGAACTCTAACTCCAACTCGAACTGAGCTCCTCTTACTCTCAATGGAAAGAGATAAACACTGAACTAGTTAGATTTGGCAGTAACAAGCACGTTAACAAAAAGTAACCAATGACCATCAAAAGGTCATGATAAAGGTTCTAAATGGATTAATTAAAGCAAATCATTAGTACATCAGTACAATTACAAACTTTAAAACAAACAAGTTTCGCTTTCTTTGGGCCGGCTAAATTTCGGATGAAAGAAAAGCAGGAATTGGCAGAAATACCTCCTTCTCGTTGTCGTAAATTTGAGCACAATCAATATGGCGGTATCCAGCCTGCAGCCAAGGTTCAGAGCTTAGACACAGACGATGAAATCAAGCATATCATAACGGAAAATCATGGAAAGATTTCATAAAAATAAAGTATTAGGGATGAACTAGACGATGAAGAAACAGAAAGAAAAAAAGAGAAAGCAGAAATGAACCTTGATGGCGGTGGTAACGGCGTCGCCGACAAGGCCAGGGGCGGCCTGCCACGTGCCGAGGCCGACGGAAGGGATTTTGGCTCCGGTGTTCAACTGGAAGAATCTGATATCATTGGCCATCTCGGAAATGGAGTGTGTTTCGTTCGCTGATATAAAGCAGGAAGACGGTGGGATAATTGTAGGAGGAGATGAGTGGAGTAGAGTATCCGGATTCCGGACTATTCCCGGCTCTCTTTTCTGGTAATAATTCCTTGCGTTGTTTATTTGGACTTCTGGGTTCCTACTTGTAGTAGGTGGGTTAATAATTGGCTTTCTAGCGCCTCCTGTTCTGCCGCGTGTTTTAATTTTTTTCTTTCCCTTTTTCGGTCAAAAGAAAAATCCAAGCTTCCGTATTTGATGGCCTATTGGTCACCCTTTACGAAACGTGCGTAGAACTAGTGCAATTTGAGGTGAAATCTCATGTCCCCTTTTTCTTTCCTTGGGAAAAGTTTTACACTGTTTGAAAAAAAAAAAAAAAATCCAAGCTCTAGAATGTGACAGATGCAAAAAGTACTGTGTTGCTTCATATAAGTGGTTACTACCACCCAAATATAAGATTTATTACTTTACTTGAGAGAAGATTATTGTTATATAAATTTGTTAATTAAATTTTTAATATCTTGTTGATATTTAATAGCAATTATTTATTAATGTCCAAAAAATTAAATTCATTCATTAAGGTTTCAAATATGATTAATAATCCAAGAAAAGTTAATTCTTGTGTAGTATAGAGAAATTTTTCTAAGTTGAGGAAGTTAACCAAGGCAAACAAAAGGCTGTCCGGTCACTTGCATGAAGATGATTGCCCATTTACTCTTCATTTATGATCTTCTTTAAGAATTTTGACAATTTTAAAACATTAATTAAGTGAAATAAAACTTTAAAATTGTAAATGTGAATTTTGCATAAATGCAGCACAATCACTAGTTTAGCCTAATTGGAACCACTCAAACATCACCATCCCAAAGTTCTTCGACGGTCTTGTAGTGGCCGAACGTCTCATGGACAAAGCACTCTCCTCCAAAGAGTCTACCCTGCGCAATTGAAAATGGCAGAATGAGTTGAGGAACACTTTCCAAAATTGCATAAAACTTACAATTCTGCAACAAAATGTGGCAAGGGAATAATACGATCACAAGCAAAACCTTCAGAAGTCCATATTATTCAGTTTTAACATGATGCAGGACGGTTGTTTCTGTCAATCAAATTCTAGCAAAATTTTCCAATTTTTTAAAGGTATCAAAAATGGCTGCTTTCTTAGGTAATCATGTTAAATAACTACTTCCCTGTTCAAATTCAGTAAACTTGGCAAACGAGTCCTGGGCTATAGACCCATCAAAGACATCAAAGTTCTCCTTGATCCTTGCTTCATTTGTACTCTTTGGAACCACACTATGACCCATTTGCAAACCCCAGCGAATTGCAACTTGCGCAGGGGTCTTGCCTACTTTCTCTGCCACCATATTAAGAATTGGATTCCTAAGAACTTGAGTCTCGATCCATTTGGTACCAGGAAAACCCAATGGTGAATATCCCTGAAAGAAGCACGTCAGTATTACAATAAAGTTGCATATTAACTCCGAAAGACAAAGCATACTATGCTATGCCCAAATGTAGGCACTAGGCAGGTGAAGTTTCTTAATTATATCACAGATTCCAATTAGATTAAACTAAAAGCAAGTAGGAATAAGAAATGACACAAGGTTTGCATACTCACAGATAGGTGAACTCCCTTTGTCTTGCAAAACTCATGCAGCTTGGTCTGCTGCCATGAAGGATGACATTCAACCTGATTGACAGGAGAAGGAACGCATGCCACCTCCAGCAAGTCTGCCAATTTCTTTGTAGAGATATTACTCACACCAATAGCTCGAGCCTTTCCAGAATCATAGAGTGCTTCCATTGCTCTCCAAGTGCTAGGAATATCCACAGGCAGAAGGTTTTCAGGCTTGAAATCAACTGACCCCTTTATCATCCTAATTGGTCAATGGATCTTCATGAATGAACACCAGCACTTAGGTACAATTGAAAAGTGTCCTTGATAGCATATGAGGATATTCAAAACCAAATAACCATAAAGATGTAAATTCTCCATGTTTATTAAAATTAGTACAAGTCTATAAAAAATTAATTAGAAATTAAAAAAATTATATTTTTGGATAAAATATTTTGTGAAAAAAATCTAAGCAAGGCATGGTTAAAAAAGGCCTTGTGCTCTTTAGTCTGTCTTCGTCCTAGCAAGTTGGGTTTAGAAAAACCTTCTCTGCCTACTCTTTGGATCGCTCTGTTACTTTAGAATAGCTAGTCATTTACAATATTGG